GAAAATATATGTCAATTAGCTGAAGGGGGGGTATTTATCATAATAATTTATTAGACATGAAGAGGAATTCCATCTATTCCCGCCCTGTGGCAGAGCCTTCTTCTATTTCTATTTTACGTATTCTCCGCCCGTATCTGCCTTGCTTCCATCTAGACATACCTGGTCCTCCGTACTCACTAAAAATATTAATATTTTTTTGTTATTAGGGTTCCCGTACTCAAATTTTATTCACTTACAATTAAAAATAATAAACAACTCGAAACTAAACAGAAAAAAACGTACTATCTTAATTATTTTTGTGGAATTGTATATTATTCCAATACTTTCAATCAATTGCCACATTATAAAACATCTTTTTTTATATTTTTGCTTCACACGTGTTTATGAAGAAAAGTTTGAAATTGATCTTTCATTGGCGTTTAAATACAATTAAAGTAATTTTAATTGAATTCAAGTTAGCGTTTCTGTGTCCTTGATAAATAGTGGCTGACGGAAAGAGGCCATTAAACATTCAGACAGTTATAATACCTCAAAAAATTATAATTCACACTGAATCCTGACTTTTCTATTATTTAAAATAACCTAATAATATATCTATTTTTAACAACCTTAAAAACCAGCGTTGACACATTCATTTCCTCCAAACCCATTTACCATTACTGTTTTACTTCAATTAATATACTTCTCTACAAACTCTTAACAATTTATATAATAATTTACTTGCCATCCAAAGGTACACTTCCACTCTCAACTATAATACAACACGTCTCTACTAACATTCATTCATCCGTCACAGTTCCAGCATAATACGTAGATCACTAATAATATGTTTTTGCTCGCACTGTTATTGGGCGACTCGCAAACACATAATAATCATGCTTAATTTACTACAATTTAACATGTATGCATTCATACCGTTTTACTCAATATTTAGTACATCCACCTGAAAATGATTTGTTTCAATCATTTCATATCTCTGGTACACTTAATACACTCACGACTAGACGCAAATGAAATAAATATTCTAATTACTTTTATAAATAGAGAAAAACCTCAGAATCATTTCGGATATATTTTGTAATTTTCTAAAGTTACACATATTGCATGCAAAATTGCGCGAAAACTACAAAAATTGTCAAAAAATGAAAGAACAAACTTTCGAGAACATATTTTATTTGAAGGGAAAATCTATGTTCAATGCTGTAGTTGTAGGAAAACACCGAAAAAAATCATACTTTTGAAATTTTCGAGAATTCAGAGTTAACCATAAAAATCGGACCTATGCCACGTTTATAAGTGTATGTAAATCTATTCTTAGAAGAAGAAAAAAATTGGAGCAGTTTTTGAGAAAACTTTGAAAATGTCCGAAGGGCTCCATGTACAGTGCCCCCAAATATTGAAGAATTTTTCCAAAATCTCAAAGTGTCGACTCGAGCCAGAAGGACTGAAGTTTCTTCAATTTGGAGAAAGTCCTACGCATGGTTTAGGCGGTAGTAATGTTCACAAACATCAGACGGACGGACAAACGAACGGACGTTTTGAAAAAAACACGTTTTCGTATCAGGGAACTTTAAAACGTGTAAATAAACACTCTTCTTCTGCAAAAACGCAATTCTGTGCTTTGATGAAATCAGTAATAGATCTCAGTTGTCATCCTCTGGTGGCCCGCAGCTAAACTATTTACTTTCAATCCCCTTGTAGTTAAGTTTGCTCACGCAGGTTGATGAATTGTCCCAATTGTTCCCGTCCCGTCTTGTTATTCTGAAAACTTATTCTGAAAATTGAAATTTGGGTTACGGTATTGGATTATTCAAAAAGCCAGCCATTCAATGATAAAATAGCAAATTTACTAAAATATTCATTCAATTTTTAAATCGTGATAATTTTTTGTTACTTTCTTCCAATACAAAAGTGTTCATTTATTTCACTGATTGTTGCCAATGTAATGTCAGAAATACATTTAGTAATTTTCTCCCAATATGTCATACAATAATTTGGAATTGTTGAACGAATTTAATTTGAAATTTAAGATATATTACTAATATTTCTTGAACTTTTTAAACTTCGATTTTTAACGAACTGTTTGGATAATTTCGCAAGTTTTTAATCAAATAAACTTATTAGATAAGACATGTCTTTCGAAATGTTTGCAATGCTAATTTTTCGATTATTCTTGACCAAAATTTGCCTTCATCACGAATCTTACGTTCCGATGTCTTCATGTTCATGCCACCCCGATGATCTGAAGTCCATGTATGGAAGAATCTCCTATGTTCTACTGGGAATCTTCTTTTCGTGAAGTCACTTCTAATAGAAAGTTGCGCAGCAGCCCTACTCACGTATGACTTTCCAAATCAATTACCCTAATATTTGAATAAGAAAATTATAACAATTTTAGTAATTAAATTCCTAAACCTAACTAAATTAATTTAATTAAACTAAGACTACTAAAGAAACTACACAAACACATGGTAATGTCACGAGTGGACGTTTCTATCGCCGTACTTATTCTTCGCGTTTTCTACGCGTTCTATTTCCAAATTAAGAAATACAACATTTAATTTAATATAAGTCAATCCCTTGTTAAATAATTCACGAAATTAAACTTCGACTTCTTCGTGCTCAATAAAACTAATGTCACTAACCACAAAATCTTACATCGTTCCACGGAATTTGAAATTAATCTGACATTAGTCCCTCGCTGTACGTATCTGAAATCATTCTTATATGTCTCTCACAAAATCTAACTAATTATTACGTCCGTCTCTCATGAAATCTACTATGATTCTGAACTAAAAATTACCAAAATCAAACATAAAACCTTTCCATTTCTTTGTTCTCGACCATTTGTAACTAATTTTGCCATTGGTCAGTTTTAGCCCCCAGACAGTCATCTTTCTCTTTCCTTGTCCCATGCGAGGTAATAAAACATGACACAATTGGTTCCCGGTTGTTGGTTTTTTCTTGGGATTATAATTGACAAAATATTAAAATTGTATTGATGCAATAAAGTTTGTATTTTATTACGACCACTTCTAATCGTTAGTCTTGAGGTTCAACATTCGAAATATTATGTCCATTTCATTCTCGATCACATGAAAGTCCTAAAATTTGCATATTAACATTCCAATTTTATTTTGACTAATGCAGAAAATGGCTACCATGACGTTTAAAATACGCAATGCCCCTACGTATTTTCAATTCTGGTTTAGATTTACATTTAGATTTATTCAGTCAAAAAAACAGTAAAATGTATGTGACGTAGGGTGGAAAAGATTATCTGCGCACGTTTTCTTGAGTTCCAGAATCCCTTTCCGTAATATTAACTATAAATAGCTGAAAGTGAGTGAATGTTGTAAACGTTTAACATAAATAAATAAATTTTAAAAATCGTAAGATTAGCAATATTGAAAAATAGTCATTTTCGTTTGAGTTACAGAAAACTTATTTGCATCGGTACACGAATTGCAAGTATGATTTTTCTCCATTGATAACAAAACAGCAACTAGCCCTTAAGTCTACTATTACCATTACAAGCAAAAGGAGAGTTGAACAAAACATGCGCCTAGTGAAGCAACATTTACGTCCAGAAGCAAAAAAAGGGGCATCTCAGCATTTGCTCAATGGATCAGGGAACTGAACAAAAACGGGATCGAGATGGGTGTCATTGACCCGGAAGGTGAAGTACATTTTTTTTTACAAACATATTAGTCTTTTTAAAAAAGTATACAATACAAATGTAAACTAATTTATTATATATCACTGTTTTGTTAAAATAAACATTTGTCTCCTTTTTGGTAATCAGTATAGTCTCTAAATGTATAGTCTCTAAATGTATAGAAACAGTTATGCAGCAGAAAAGATTTACTTTAAACTTAAATTTGTGAACGGACTTAATTGTTTAATGTCATCTGGCAGTGCGTTGTAAAGTAACGTACATGTATTGTATGTGGATTTCTGATAATGAGCTGTTGATACTGACACTTGACCGTGATTTTTACGACGTGTGTTGTAATTATAAATATCAGTATTGCATGAAAATATGTTCCCACCGTTAAGTAAGTCACTTTCGACAAATATTACAGATTTGTAAATATATAGGCAAAACAGTGGTAAGATTCCAAGCTCAATGAAGAGAGGCTTGCAAGGATAACGCGGATGGCATTTTTTCATTATTCGAATACTTTTCTTTCGCAATCTAAAGGTCTGAGAACTGTATGATGAGTTTCCCCAGAATTTTATACCACATCTCAGGCGGGAATGTACATTTGCAAAATACACGCAACGAGCTGCATGAAGTCTGACAGAATTTGATAGAATTCTGAATGCCTAACATAATGAACTTAATTTAGTGTTTAATTTTGTAATATGTACATTCCATTTGAGGTTTGACTGAATTGACAGACCTAGAAATTTTTATTACCTTAACATCACCTAATTGCATATTATTCATTTAAAATGGAGCATGCGATTGCTGATTTGAATGTCAAAAATGCATTGAAACTATTTTCCTTCGTTAACTTTGTTAAAAAATTTGTTATTACAAAACCCATTTAAAACTTCTAAAATCGTACAATTTGTTTCTTTTTTGCAAAGAACATTCGTGTCATCGGCAAACAGAACCGTTCTTCCGTTTTTAATAGACACAACATCAATAGCAATGAATTCATTACCAATGAATGGGTGTTATCTAGGCCAAGTTTTGTGACTTATGTAGTGCATCTCATAAGTGACTATTTTTGTGCTAAATTTATTCAGAAAAAAAATTGACATTTCAACTGAAATGAACTTTTGAAGGGACAATGGCAATACTGAAACATTGCAATGGTAATTTTCAGTGAGCGGTCTAATAGAAATAGGAGGATCACATCATCACTGGAAATTTATTTTGTTACTTACCAGTTTTACCAATTATTGTTCTGTGTATCCATAAATGAGAATGCTTAACTTCATTTCAGTTGATTATTATTATTAGGAATGGATTAATGAAACACATATTAGGCTGAATTATCAGGTATATTTCTATAATAAAATATTCATAGACACGATCTTCCGTCTTGTATATCCATACAAAAATTCAACATCTTATACAAATATGATTGGTCCATATTTCTTGCTCTGTACTTCTATCGAGACTTAAATATAATTTCACGTAATACTAGAACAATGTAAAACACATTTATGAAAATATTCCAAAAAGAAAGTATTTAAATAGTACTAAAAATAACTAACCTCCGATTACAGTTAGGCCATCACTCTATGAGAAATAAAACAAGTTGTGCACGAGCTTAAAAAGTATAAATGTAAATGAATGCATTATTGAATATTGTCTTTGGCCTTATAGGCAATTTCGCTGTATTTTTTTAAAATTTTTTATTTGGAATACAGATTTTATGCATATATTTTGGGTAGTTAAATACAAGGGGATTGTCTAAGTCGCCACATCAAGTTTTCAGTTTGTTATATTTTCTTTTCCTAGTCTACAATAATTAACACATAAGGTGGTCCTCCATTATTTGTTTGTTTTTGAACAATGAACATTTTTAAATTTCAATAATTTATCAACTATCATTAAATATGAATTATATGCTGATTTTTTCTTGATTCATCCAGAAAATAGTATATGTATAAGGATATATTATATAACAATATATGAATCAGCTTGTAACAGGTGCTATATAAATATATGAATTTGTATATTTTATGACAGGTATGTTTCTGAATTAATGGAGCAAACATTGAATGTTAAGAAAAACATTTCTTTCCTTGTATTTTTCCAAACAGTATTAAGAAAGAAACATTATTTATTAGTATACTGTGTCAATGTATTTTCATCCACATTTCGAATGAAATTATTTTTTTACATGATTGTGACTGAAGATACCAAAGTATTGGATACATTTAATGAAAACCGTAACAGGTCATGAAAATATATGGTTTGATATTTGGAAACTCTTACGAGGAATGAATCATTTATCTTTTTTGCCACAATTACACACTGACGTAAAATTGTAAGATGAAACTTATATCTACGCTATTATGCCTTATACGAGATGAGAGTAGCAGGAAGACATTGGCAAGCTTGTGAAAGGATTTTTGATTCCACCTATGGATAAAATGCCCATCCAGGTCCCGCAATTCAAAAGAAACGCACGTTTCTTCTACTGAATACTTGTTTCGAATTTATTTCCCGCTACAAATGCTAATAAATTTTTTTCACAGATACGGTATGATGCAGTGTGAAGTATTTCACTGTTATCAAGACCTATTTAGGAAAATACATTACGAAGTACATTGACAACTCCCTTTAAAACAAGAATCGATTGAACGTGTAGTAACAGCGAAACGCAGCACTGAATTTTCGACTTCCTGTTCTTTTGAATGATTTGAGGTCTGGTTTCGGCGTTGTTGAAACGTTCAATCAAAGGCCTCTCAATTCCTCTTTGAACCCTAGCAGTACCAAGGGCGACAAAGTTTTGCCCACCCTTTTTAATTTTCGTAGTTCTGCGTATGAAATAAATATGTTTTGTTGATAAGATTTTTGTTTGTTACTATCGTTTTAAAGGACAACTACAACTCTATTTTTCAAATATTAGTGAGGCATATACAGTTTAAATTTAATTCTTTTCTGGTCGGCAATTTTGTCTCGGTGTTTTGTGTTTGTGAATTGAGTTCACCAAACAATGAGTGAGTGGAGTAAACGTGAAAGTAAAATTTTTTAACGACTAATTTTACAATGTCTTCACAATTTAATTTGACACGATTAAAACATATTATAAAAATATTATTATGCAAGTAAAAGTAATGTTTTACACTAAAAGTGGTAATTTAACATTTTTTCCGTAATACTGTTTTTATATATAACCAAAGAAGAGAGAAGAAACGCATAACGGTAACCGCCGGCGTCGGTTAAGGATTTAACATACAGCTGTCCGTCAGCAGTAATCGAAAAAAATGAGTTGTAGCAAAAGATTGTGCATGAGTACACTTATTGCAAGAAATGCTATTTCTTATTTATAAAAATTTTACATTTTCTTATAACAAGGCCGAATTACGACAAAAAATCATTGAACAGAGTCAAAGGGCCTAATGAATCTGCTAGGGCGAAGGGATCACGTGGAGGGCGTGAGGTGGCAAAGAGTCTAATCCTACGAAGCTACAAGCGCCGCTGGGCGGCTGCGCGGAATACTGTTTGGGACCCTGGAAATGAACACACGCGAACACATGGGCGGGCGGAGGCCTTCCCTCCCTCTTCCCCTCCCCCTCCCCCTCCCACGCCGCCAAGGAAACCAGACGCCATTTGGCTCTGGTGGTGGCAGGGAGAGGCACGACACCAATGGCCTTTTCAAAACATCGAGTTTTCTTATGAAACATCAATTAAATTAAGTTTGTGATGCTTGTAATTATTGTGACGTGTGATGTTTTTGTTGACTTTTGTCGCAATAGAAAATAAGTAAACTATATTTGTAAATATGCTTCCGGGCGGCTGAACCCCCGCTTGTGCCGACGAGGAACGTGGATGTTTTGCTTTTGAAGATGGATGTTTGGTTGGACCGTCAATGTTGCGTGGGCGGGGGTAGAGAGGCCGCTTCTTTACTTGGAGTGCACCAAGTTGAGGAACTCCTCCCGCGTCTTGGGGTCGTCCCGGAAGACGCCCAACATGGCCGACGTCACCGTCTTGCTGTTCACCTTCTGCACGCCCCGCATCACCATGCACATGTGCCTGCAACACGTTTACCATTTGTTTAGCATTAACATTGTTTAAAATTATTAAGAAATGAAGTTATTAACAAAGAAGAACATGTTTATGGGATTTATACGGGGTAGAGAGAAAGTTATGTGATGCTGCACGAAAAATTGGCGAATTTTCGGCAGAAAAACTCCTATTGCCGGGCCCCGGTAACGAAAACGTGGATAAATCCAGTTGCTAAATTTAAGGTAAAAATCCTCTGTCACGTGGTGTAGCCAAAAATCCATGGCTAGTTGGTCCTTGATACCGAAAAATCGAATTACGGCAAAACGTTTGTCTGCCCGTCCGCCCGTCTGCCTACAACGCTAGCGGCTAAACTATTCAGCAGACTTTCTTCAAAATTGATTTTTCTCACTCTATGTGGCTGATGCCTCGGACCCATGAATTTCAAACCGATATTTCAATTTTTTGGGTATTTTACTTCAAGTCCATGGGTCATTTTCGAAATAAAAAAAAATACTCCATCGCGTTTGATTAAATTTTATTGTTGGATAGTTTGAAAGACGTTTAAGAGATTGGAGTAGGTCTCATTTTCGTTAAAACCCCTTATTTTTCGAAAATTGCAAAAGTACAAAATTGTTTCGGCGTCTTCCTACAACTAAAATATCAAAGAATGAGTTTTCTCCGTTCATGAAATCTATTCGTTAAAGATAGATTTTGAAATAAGGTCAAGTACTATGTTTGGAAAATTTGAGCACTTTTCGCGAAAAAATGTTTCGCGTAATTTTACGTGAAAATACGGGGTAGAGAGTACGTGTTGTTTTAGCACCACTATTTTTCAAGAGTGTATTGCGTCTGTATTTTCAGAGTCTATGCATGTACATTCATGTTAATGAATCCTAGAGTTATGGAGAAATTGATTGCATTCAGAAACAAAAGGCCAACTTCAATATTAAATATCTAGTGTATGTTCGAAAAATATTTTTTCTTCTTTTCTTCAAAACTTTTTCTTCATACTACGCTTTGCCCGAAAAATGCAAACATTTTCCGAAACGATATAAAAAAAGGACTAAAGTATCTAATATGGAGAAATTGATTGCATTGAGAAAGGAATAACAAAAAATCGAAGATGTACGATACGTTGAAAAAATGAAATTTTGCATTTTTTTGAAAATTTCAGAGACCCCTGCCGTATCAATAATTAACGCTATACGTATTATTCGGTATTGTAGCAGAATATTTGCGTCATCTGCCGAATTCGCTGCGCGTGATTGCGTCATCTGCCCGGCTCCCCTCCCTCCCCCGGACTAGACGTTCCGACTATCCGCGGAAGCCGCGGAGAAACCGGCCGAGAATTATGCCGGGCCTGAGACAAGCGCCGGGCAGGTATCATAATGCGCCGCTGCCGGGCCGGCAGCGAGTCAGTTAGTAGAAGACGTGAGTTAGAAGTCAGTGGGTAGAGTAAGGCGTCAGTGGAGTGGCAGAGAAGCAGTCAGTCCGTCAGTTGTTCCGAAGTGGAAGCTGTCGCTCGTGAAATGTGCATTCGGAAGAGTGGTGAGCGCGTTTGAACAGCAGTCAGCTATCTGAAGTCTGCATGGAAGCTGAAGCTGTGAAGGGTGTGCATCGCGGTAACCCAGTTGTTGGCAGTGGGGGAAAACAGATCAGCCAGTGTGAAGTCTTGCAGTGGAAGCTGAGCTGTGAAGTGAGGCATCCGTAAACAGCAGTGCAAGTGGACCCTGGTGTGCCGCAGTGAAGTGTGGTCTGCGCAAGGAATTGTGGTCTGCGCAGGGAGATTGTGGTCTTGCAGGGAATTTGGGTCAAGTGCAGTGGACCGTGGACAGTGCATTGGACTGGCTGAATACTGTAGAAGAGAACTGTGTAAATAAATAGTGTGTAAGGAGTGAACTGTGTAAATAAATCATCAAGAGAACGAATCGTGTGTAAAAGAAAAATAATAATTGTATATATTTGTAAATAGACCAAGTAGATTTTAGTGTATAATTGTTTCCCGAATAAACGTTCTTTTTAAATAATATTGTGTTGGTTTTAATTCACCACGGAGAAACGTTACAGTATACTATTTCCTTAAACTCAATTTGAGCAAAATTAAACAAAAGAACTAATAAATAATATAAATAATAATAAAATAATAAATAATAAATAATAAATAAATAATAAATAATAAATAATAAATAATAAATAATAAATAATAAATAATAAATATAAATAAATAATAAATAATAAATAATAAATAATAAATAATAAATAATAAATAATAAATAATAAATAATAAATAATAAATAATAAATAATAAATAAATAAAATTAGAGCTGTTTTCCCGAAAATATTATTTGTTCTTTTATTCTCCCTTTCTCAAACTTTCGCAAAAAATACTAAAATTGAGGAAAAGTTATCTTTTGCAATTTACAAAAAATCCTGCATCCTGCACATTTACTGCAAGTAAAAGATCCTTAAGTCTACAAGAAGCCTCGTCGAATGTTTCGGCGCCCGAGAGATACTCGTAACTCTTTTTTCTTTGCCAGATGCTGAAAGGAGCGTAGCGGAATTTGCGGAGTCATGCGGAAGGGCTTGGAGGCGTGAGCCTCGCTACGATAAAAAGACATAATTGAATTGTAAAATAAAGCAGAATTGAATTGAATTGAATTGAAAGTGCTTACACTCCCTCCACCACGACCGCCACCCCCGCCGGCTGCACGGCCTTCGTGACGGCGACGGCAATCTGCTTGGTGAGGCGCTCTTGCACTGCAAAACACACACAAGTTTATTTTTATGTATATTTTTTTATTTTACTTAATTTATTTGTTTATTTTGAATTTGTGTTTTTTGTATTCAGTGAATTTTTTGTTCACTGTATAAAAGATTGTTTTACTTGAAAAAAAACAACAACACATGCTTATTGCCTTGAATGATAGTTTTACAATGTTAGAAATGTAATATAGAATAACTACACAACTAGCGAATCAAGAAAATATATTTAAAAATAATGTATTTTAATATCTAAATTTTACGAATTGATTTAGTAAAATAACACGTTGCTAAATCGTTGAAATCTATATTTTCATAAATCCTGAGATAAACAAGAAAAATTCTAAAATAATTGTCAGGTTCTTACCTTGTAGGCGTCTGCTATAGATCTCCACAATTCTGCAAGAGAAAGTGAAACATTATGAGTTATCTTGGAACCTCACTTCATTATTTTTTTTTCGTAAGTGAGAGGGAATTGTACACTCAAATATGGTTCAAGGTGGTTTCTTAGGAGAAACCTTGAGTGTCAAAGAATCGAAAAGTATCATGACATGCGTCCTGTGAAAAGAATGTATGTCAATGCCGGAGAGAAAGAGCCAAATGAAAGCTACTGGTAACGAGATAGAACAATAGAAATCTATAGAGTGGCAATGGTGCCCGCCATATTTGAAGCTTTTTGAAATGGCAATCTCATGTTTTCTGTGAGGAACATCAGAATGTTCGTGTAATGATGAATTCAATCGAAGTGCAGTTAGAAAAGAAGTAATATTTAAAACATGTTGAGGTTAGTGTAGATTAATTTAAAGAATATTACGTTTAATTTTGTCTGTTCGTAGTACAAATTAATTTTTTGAGTTTTCTTCGTGACACAATTTTTTTTAAAAAATGTCGTACGTTTTGATTATTCATTACTAAAACTTTAAATGAAATTGATATCGCTACGAAAATGTGGTACGTAAAAAAATTTGAGAACAAACCGCGGACTTCATATGAAAATAAATATTTTAAAGAATTTTTCATTACTATATTGATACATTCTAACGTAATAAATACACCATTACCAGTTCCTACAGATTGTCAATAATAAATATTGACTAAACTGAGTGGAAATTCACTAACCGTTAATTAAATTATTAATTATGTAAATATTAATATAATTATACATTAGGCAAAAGTAAAGTAAAGTAAATTATCCCCTTCTGCTTAAAGTAGTTCTGTCGCTTCTATTTGTGCAAATTAAGGGACCAATAAAAGAAGAGCACTTTAATGTCACATACCTACGAACACACCCAAATACCATGTAACGCCCAAATCGTGTAATTTTAAGCAGGAACCCGTTGCAACACTTATGTTTGTTTTGCCACAGGAAAACGTGGTGGACAATAGTGCAAAGTGATTCGTACAGGGGCGCTGTATTTGCACACGATTCCTCTCCGTATAACTCAAGCTGAACAGGTACCTGGCGAGTTTGCTGAGGCCGAGGATCTTGTTGCGCGGCAGGTAGCCGATGGACACCTTCCCGTAGAAGGGCACCAGGTGGTGCTCGCACATGCTGAACATCTCGATGTCCTTCACCACCACCATCTCGTCGTGCTCCTCGTCGAAGATGGCGTCGTTGAGCACCTCTGCAACAGCGGAAGGCGCGCGTTAAGCTCTGTCCAGGCGGGTTTCCGGTCATTTGGACTGGCAATTGTAGACAATTATTGATGGCAAACCAAATAGGGAGAGGATGTTGTGGAAGGCAAACAATAAGGGGAAATAATCTGCATTCATTTCACAAACGTCGGCTAACTTTTGCTTTTGCTATTGAACTTATACCGCCACGGCCGGGATAAGTTTTAAGCTCCCGGCTGGACTCTTGACATGTGTGATAATATATTGCATGTAAAACTGTGTTTAGAGGGAGAAGAGAGAACATGGATGTGGAAGGAGAGATAACGCGTGGTTAACATCCCGTTTGCTAGGGCACTGCAAATTTTTGAAATTTTTTGAAAGAAAGAAAAAAAAACGCGAAAAACTACCGATCAGAGCAGATGACTGCTCGAATTTTCCTCCAGACAGCGACTGCCTCCTGGCCACTGCAGAGCTAACGGTTGCGACTGACCCAGTGTTGCTGTAAGAGGTTAGAGGGGTTTGGGGCGTCGGCTGCAATTACGTCTCTCGGTGGATGGGTGGGTGGAGGGATGGCGTAAGGGGCGGTTGGAGAAAGACTGAAGGGGGCTGAGGAGAACCAGTGGAGAGAGTGCTGGAGGGAATGCTGGAAGGGTGGCTGGAGCGGTGACTCAAGAGCAAATGGAGGGCCGGCTTGGGAGGGTGCTGGAGGGGTGGCAGGAGCGGTGACTGGAGGTGCTGGAGCGGCGGCTAGAGTGGAAGTGAGTCGCCCCATGGGAGGCCGCGGTCGCGCGGAGCCGAGTAGATTGGAAACTCGAGATCTTTCAAGAGGCCTTCGGGCGATGTATTCTCAAGATAATTGCTCTTTCCGACTAATTGCCTGGGCGTAGCGTCGAGAAAGAGCGTTAAAACTAAGATTGTCACACTCTTCTAAGGCTCCATTTAATTATATGTTTTGTTTGTCATGCTAAGAAGCTTCGCGTGCTTTGAGGAGCCAAACGCTACTGCTCATAAGTTCATAGATTACTCAGTATGCTATAAACGATATTTGCAAAATGTACGGAAACATTTTTGACGATAAAAGTTCAAAAAAGAATCTTTTAATCGAAGTTAATATTAGACATATTTTATTAGAACACCGAATAATTCAGATATTAGTTATAGAGATTCTATTCACAACTTTCTTTGAGATTTTGCTATTTTATCGGACCTTATTTTGTACTAGGCAGATCTTCTGAAATATATATACACACATCATTGTTTATGATTAATACTTATTGGCATACTCAATGATTTGTAAGCCAAGCCACTAACTAAGATACTTACATAAATAGACAGGAACATACAACATATTATGTTGACATACGATAACTGGCGTACGTATCATCTCCAAGTTTATCCTTAGATATCGGTATGTCACAGAAATCGTAGACTAAAACGCAAGATATTTTTACAGAATATTGATTCAGTAGTCAACAGTTAAGCTGTTTAGTCGTGGTCTTCAAAATATATACAGAGTGTTTGAAAATAAATGTTAAATTTCAAGAGTATACAGAGAGTAAAAATTTATCAGTTTTTGACTGAGCGTAAGTCACTGCGGCAATATACCAGGCTTGTTAAACTGTTCAAGCAATAGGTCGCGTAAATAGAGTAGTGGTTACAGCAACTAGGCGTAAACTAGGAGACCCGGGTTCGAACACCGACCGGGGTGATAATTCTTTGAATAAATTTAATGAGAATAAGGCGAGGTATAATATTCAAATAAAGAAGTTACACATGTGCCTGATTGTTTGACAACCGTCATGCACTGGTGTTTGGTAGGTCACGTTATCAGTCACATTGTGATTACCTGCTAGACACTAATGTGTTAGTTGTCGATCACTTAATGTCAAATGCTTGTCAGAGGGGGATATGACCCTAGTGTAATTTCGTTATGTTCGTTGTCAAAAAAGTGATTATTTTCGAGACTTCCATATGCCCTGCAAATTTATAACATGTATTCTGTGATGTCTGCGCACATTGGTACATTCTTAACGCGTAGCAAATGGATCCACTAGGACGCTATATTGGAAATGTTGGCAAAGGCAGAGAGCGTGGAGAGGCGAACGCCGAGGGAGCCGTGTGCAAAAGGCCGAGCGCGAAGGCGGGGAGGCGTCATGGAAGATCGGGGCCTTCGCCCACCGCGAGGGCCCTTATTCGCCGCGGCCGAGCGGCCCACTACAAAGGAGAGCTGCCTGCGCCCGACAGCCGCCCAGTCCACCCACCCTCGGCCCGGCCCCTGCCCCGCCCCCGCCCTTGCCCTCA